AGGGTACCCTTTGTTGAGGGTAGAACAACAATCATTTGCTTGGTTTCATGATTTAAGAGCAAGATCACCTCCTGAGGTGAATAAGCAGCTCTCAGACTGGTGGAAAAAACACTCTGGAGCTCCTCTCAAGTCCCCAAGAGGGCAGGAATGGATACATCTCCTATCCCATGACTAGCAGAGGCTAAAGCTATGTGTTGTGCACCACACTGCTCTTCAATCAGTGCTGGTCATAAACAGAATCAGGAAGACCTGCCACTGGTGTCTTCTGTTACATGTTCTGTGGTTCGGGAGCCAAATCCTGCCTGCCCTTGCTAAGCATGAAGCCTTCATCTGAGTGGCTCAGGTTTGCCTTCCAGTGGTCTCAACAAGGATGACTGCACTCACTGATGTAAAAAGGGGCCACCTGGCTGCTCATCCACAGAGGACCTTTCCAAGGTTCCCTAAATGCTTTTAGGAATTCTGACACATAAGGGACTTTCCTTGGCCTGCCCAAGAAGCCACTCTGTCCCTTCAGGACAGTATACTGTACTGGTAAGGGGAAAGTCCTCTCTAAGGTATCAGAAACAGCACCTACTAATTCTTCCTGAAGCACCTGGGGATTGTGGGGACATGAAAACAATAAGGTGTTGAGAGTTGCAGGCTGTAAGGTTATTTAATGGAGCCATGGTGACACAGTACCTGCTGTACTGGAAATACAGTAAGTCCCTAAACTTATGAACATTTGAGTTGCGAACTTTCACAGACATGAATGGACCTCGCATTAGGAACATTTGTAGATGCAAACAAATCATGGAAGTACCTCAGATGTCTGCCAGATATCATCACAGTTGTGCTGCTGTGTGCTTACTGTGCAGTGCACAGAATGCCATCCAGTGCTACAGGATCAGCTACGATGGCAAAAGAAAAGCCACTACCCAGACATCACTGGATCATTTTTTCAGGAGGGTAGACAGAAATGAATCCATCACAAAGCCTGTGTCATCAGCATCAAGTGGGAGTGAAATTCTATCTCGCCCTCTATCTCCTATTGCTGATGGTCTTCAGCCCCGCCATCTCCTGCCGACCCCTCCTTCCCCAGTGAGTAATTAATTCTGTTCTTGTCAATTCACTCCATGTGATCCCCTAGATGCTGTAATGTACCACCATTTTAAGGTAACTGTAAAAGTTAAAATAGTTTATGGTATTTTTGTATGTGTGTTTGGTTTTTCTATGCTTTACACTGTATATTTGTGTCAAAGGTATATAAGACTCACTTTGGCTTATGAACGAATCCAACCTACAAATGTTCTCCCGGAATGGAACTCATTTGTGAGTTGGGGACTTTCTGTAATGAAACTCAAGACAGGGACTCAGTTCTGGATCAGGTGCCATGGTCACTGTTTCTCATCAAGAGCACTACTGGCCTTTAGGCAAATATTTGGCTCAGGAATTCACCTATTCATTTAGGACAGTCAGCACCCACATTTGTGTCCTCAAAAGGCTTGTTCAGCTACCACTGCTCCCCTCATCTGAGTCAGGGTGACAACCGTACGCCCTCTCCCTCCAGAACCGATGTTGTGCTGGAGATCACTATATTCCAGCATCAGTCTCCCCCAGCTTAAACCATAGGATTCCTGACCACTGGGCCAGTTAGAGCGATGTGTCAGCTACCTCTCAGCCTTGTGAATATGACCACAGAAAAACGAGTGTTCTCCAAGCAATGTGACTAAAAGAGAAATGGACGTGGGTTCCTGTGGCCAGATCTTCCTTCCTGCTGGTGGGAAAACAGTTGCAGTAGAGTTAGGAATGGGAGCCTTTTGTTGAGGATCTCTGAGCCAGCTATCTCTGGATAATTCTGTGAGAGAAAATGAATTTCTAGTTTAAGCTAGTGTATTTTGAAGTCTCTTAGCTTCCATCTTAGTTAATACTACTGTTTATTCCAACTTATTCCAAATTCTGAAGAGAAGAGTCTTTGGGGTCTAGGGGAGGAGGGAAGCTCTGCAGTGAGATGTGGCCCCTGACCTCGGAGGACAGCATACACAGGGACTGGATCCAGGTTTAGCCTTTCCTCTATTAGGAAGCTCAGGCCTGTCTCTGGCAGGGGTCCAACAGGCACATAGCGGCCAACAGCTCCTCAAGGGAAGAAAAGAGGACTTCCATCAGGGTGAGGGCAAGTCCACAGCATGGGAAGCCATCAAGTGTCACCAGTGTCTGTCCACACTGAGGGCCAATGCTAACTCTAGGAGGCTTCTGGCCCCTAAAGAGCTCAGAGCCACACTGAGGACACTGGCCCACAAGGGTTTCCTGTGCTTTTGGGAAGAACAGGCCCCACCCCAACCTAAACTCCTGCTGGCCCCAGCCTCACCCAGTGAGACACGGGCTGTCTTCTATGCCATGGAGGGCTGCCTTCAGAAAGGCTGAAGAGCCCTCTAAGTGTCCCTCCTCCAAAGCCAGCCTTCCACAGGTAAAGAGAATCAAATCCATGAAAATGGTCTCACTTGAGGGGAGAGAAGGAAAGAGGATCCTGGCTAAGTGCAAAGGAATGGCTCAGGGTGGGGTTGGGTGCCCCACCTTATTGGCAGTGGGGAAGATAAAGAGAACTGGGTTGGATCCTCATATCTACTCTCCTTAGAGTTACTGGAAAGAGGCTGATTAGGAGAAACTGGCAGGGATGGGGAAGCACCTGAATTAGGAAGCTGGGCCTGTCAGGAAAGAGCATGTAAGGGAAGCAGAGCATCCCTCCACTGTTGGAGTGGGGAGGAGTGTGATCCCACCAGAGCTGGCTTGGTCTTGGCAACCAGCTTCAAAGCCTGAGAGATGTGAAAAAGAAAAGGTGAATTTGACCACCTGGCACAGGACTCTTGAGCAGCCTGGGGTCAGAGGAAAGCAAGAGCTGGGAGGTTCCAGGAGGGTACCTGGCAGCACCTTGCCCAAAGCTCAGAGCTTTTGAACTCTCTGTGCAGTGTGCATGCAGCTGCCTAACACAACAGCCAGACCTACCCTCACACTGTTGGAGAGCTATAGTCAGCAACCTGACAAAATTCTGGCAGAAGCAATTAGTGGATGCAGCCAAGGTCTTAGAGGTGCTGATCTGCATACAACCCCGGGAACTTTGGGACAAAGAAGAAGGTTTCCTCTGCTTTAATCTTCTTACTCTGCATTAGAGACTTTAGCCAATCTGTCCATTCCTCCACAAAGCCTCCTGCATACAGGAGGTTAGACAGGACCCACCACCTCTCCATCAGCCTGGACCCCACAAGACTTCTCCCTCACCCCCTCCACCAGTCATACGCCTCCTTTCGAAAGCTTATCTCTCACCACCCTTCCTCCTATTCACCTGCTGTAGCCACACTGCGTTCTTGCTCTGTCTTTAACAGTCTTGAACTCCATATGCCTGACTGTCCAGCCTCAGGTGTTTACATTTGCTGATCCTCTGTCTGGAATGCTCTTTCCTTATTCATCAGCTAGCTGGCTCCCTCCCTCTATTCATAGCACTGCTCAAATGTCATCTTATTATCAGGGAAGAGTTCCCTTCCTCTCTGCCTCCCATGTGCCCACCAAACACTCATTACCACCTGACACGTGATGCTATTTGCTTGCTTGTTTATTTATTATCTGACACCCTTCCTTAGAAAATGAGTATTATAAGGGCAAGCACTTCCCCTGCTTTGAAATTTCCCTAGTTGAATGAAGAATCTGTAACTTAAAATCCAAAGAAAACTAGAAGATCTAAATCTCCAGTAGGCTGTCCCTGCTTCTGTGTTCAAAGAAATAAAGACCATTCTACTCTTAGATTATTTATTCAGCAATTATCTGTTGTCCCTCACATTCACTTGGTCACCAAATTCTATCGGTTGTCCTCTGAAATTCTTTTCTTCCTTCCTTCAACCAACAAATATCTGCTGACAACTTACTAGGTGGCATTCCTGTCCACCTCACCTTAACCCTTTGTTTTTTCTCCAGTTCACCCTGCTGGACACTTCCCAGTGAACTTCACTTTCTTCCCTATTTAAAATTTAGCAGTGACTCCTTGTTACCTATCAGATTAAGTAGAGATTACCTACCCTAGCTTAGAGGACCCTCCATAAAATCTCAGGCTACCCACAACTCTGTCTCCTAATATCTTCAGAATATGTGCTTCAGCTCAACTGGCTCACTCATCATTTTTTGAGAGCACCTCCATGCCACTCCATTTCTGGAAACTGCACAAATCCTGCCCCCCAAACTCTATCTTCCCAGGATATTCTTAAATATATTCTTAAAGTGCATCTCTGTACACTTCTCCCAGATGTAGAGTCTCCCATTTTTGAACTCCTATGACCCCAGATTTGTACCTTCCCTAAACACCTGCCATAGTCTTCCCTGAGTTATGCTTATTTGCAGTCTCCTTATCTCACCCTGTGGAGAACTCTGGAGGGCAAGGACTGTATCTCATTCATCTTTGTTTCCTGAGCAGCATCTAAACTACAATCTTACTCAGTACTCATGTTCACTCACTATTTATTGAATTGAAGTTTGTGTGTGTGTGTCCTGGAGACTGACTAGATGGCCACGAGCACGCTAAGCATGTGCTGCACCACTGAGCTCTACCCCAGGTCCTGAATTGAAATTTTAAGCACAGAACACTGCATTGTGCCATGTGCTCAGGGAAGCATAGAACAGGACGTGGTGTTTATTCTAAAGAAACTGACTGTCTACTTATGGAGGGAAGACTGCTTACACAAAATTGTGGGGACTTGGGGAGGGGCGAGTGCTGAGGATCAAACCCAGGGCATGTTAAACACACACTCTACTACCGAGCTCTGCTCCCAATCCCAAATTGTAACCTTTCATTCACTTTCACCAAGAAATTACTGAACTTCTACTATATGCTAAGTGTAATAACACAGTGCAGAATACAATGGTCAAAATTAGTGAGGGGGACCATAAATGCCAACTAAGGCAGATCGGAGGTGTACACTGGAACCAACACTTGTTAAATTACATTTTTTGGTCGGATAAAGAGATAATGACAGACATACCTGGTGATGCTGCGTGTTCCAGGTGGCCCAGCTGGGGCTGCCCAGTGACTCTGTAGACCAGCTCTGCAGGCTCACTATCCCGGTCCGTGGCGGACAGCTGCAAAGTGGTGATTTTCTTCACTGAGTTCTCATCCAAGACCAGCCCTTTATTGGTGGTGATGACCGGTGGGGATCTGTCTTCTGAAATTATCAGAAATAGTGATTTGAAATGGAATCTTTTCAGCTTCCTTTCTTCAGTCCTAGGCCAAGTACCCAGAAGTTAAGGTCACAGCAATGCTCAGATCTGTCCCTCGGAGACTCCACCGAGGGGCCAGAGCTGTGTGACAGAGGGGGTACGATTTTCAAGTTCCACGAAACTAGGTGAAGGGGGGCCTCAAGCTCCAAGGTGAGCACAGTGTAAACTAAATAACTTCACGACTGCTTGAGTGGTTTGTATAGAGCCTAGCACCTTCTTACCCAAAACGCCAATGGAAAAGGACTGGTCCATCAACCTGTTGCCTTTAACATCAACCACATCGAATTTAAAAGCAAAGTTCCCACCAGGTTCTCCGGTTCCATGACTATATTCCACATGTCCTATGGAAAGGAAAAAAAAAGCAAGATTTGCTATTAGTGCTTTCTGTTTTTACTCCTGAAGTAAGAAGTGGGACTTCAACTGCTATTCAGGCCAATGAATCCATTTATAATTTATACCTTCCTCACTTTGATACCAGATTGACATTTTAATCTAAAGCTTTTGTTTACTCCCTCTCCTCCCCCACCATCAAATTTCCCATACCCAAACACTTCCTCATAACAAATTCTTTCCAAGTGACATTTCTTATGGTTGAGGCACAGCCATTGTGACAGATCTAGCTGAGTCTCAAGGAGGTCCCATGGGTAACTAGTCAGTGCCACTGCCCTGTGTACAATGTGCTCTGACTACGCCTGCAGCACATGGAGGGATCCTACTGTATAAGCATATTCCAAGGTAAGTGGACAAAGACCTGCAGCCCACCTTCTCCCATGACTCTTCACCCCCTATTGTCCAATACATGGAATAAGGCAGGCTATACCTAGCAGACAAATAAATAAGCAAGAACGAAAATAAACTCCACACAAAGGTCAAAAGGACTCAAAGGGAGAAGTACAATACAATCTATTTTTGCTTGCATGCAGCATCATTTATATGTACCTATCAATGCAAATATAACCAAACCCCTGGGAAGAGGTTCCTGGTCTCATTTTCACAAGACACAGAGGCATGGGATAATTAAGGAACTACTATGCCTTTGCTTATTCTACTCACTTCACCAAAGCTCAGACAAATCCAATGAGAATTTAGCTGCTGTCAATGTTTCATGTTAGTGCCTGGGCAGGACCCTTGTGCCTACTCCTTGCATGGATATTTCCACCTCTAAAAGGAATTAGACATCATCACATGACTTTGGACTGTTTTTTTCCTTCCCATATGTAACTTTTTCCCCTTTCTACCCCTGAATGCACTGTACAGTAACTATGTAGCATTTAACATTTATGGCTTTGCATTACGTCAGCATTTCCTGAAGGAGGGATGAACCATGTAATGTTCCCCAGGCAGATTGGATTTATGCCCTTCCATTTTGCTTAGTTCATTAACTTGTGCTCTTTGGAGAGCTGAAAAAGAGATATAAATTGCTCACCTAAGGAAGGTATAATTTTCACCTTAATCCAACCAAACTCAATTCATTTTTTTTCATTCATGTATTTTCTAGCATCATAAGAAGTCAAAATGACTGTTCTCTCTGTAAATAGCCAGAAATCTCATCAATGCTATGTTAAGACATGGTTGTATTTTGTTAAGAAAGATAGTTTTCCTATTTTAAAAAATGACAACAACAAAAATGTTGGATAAAGAAAAAGGAAGAAGCTATATTTGAAACAAAGAGTGCCTAGTTTACTGCCTAGGCTACCAGGCATTTAACACCCACTTCACTTCTGCAAGGCGGTGTCCACAGAAGCTTGGGGAGGAGGGAGAACTGGCTGACCTTGGCTGATGTCGGCCTGGGTGAAGCCTTGGATGGGGCCGTGAACAGAGATTTGCTCCAGGTTGTCGTGCATGACCATTTGCAGGCGCCCTGCGCCAGGATCTTCCTTCATGATGTACATAACCTGATGGTCATCTGAGTCAGTGTCTGTTACTCTCAAGTGCTGTTCTGTGATGCGTGCTACAGACCCTGTAAAAGAACAGAAAAGCAGGTCATTCCCCATCGTTTCCTTCAAATGGGATGTCAAATGATTTTAGGGGACAGGAAGTTAAATTATCCTTGGGCTTAGATACTTGCCCTTCTCAGTCTCCAGCTCAATAAATTCTAATTTCTCCAAAAGAAACAGTCCCTTGGGTTTAGATCTGAGCCCTTCTACTCATATCCATATTTATTCTCTCTCCATGCTTGTTCTACTCACTGGCCTATCAGTACCTGGACCTATGGAATAATTCCTAGTTCTATGATGTAAATAACATTTAGATCTATGATGAAATCTGCTTGGATTTAATTTATTTACTGTTCTAAGGATTAGCAAACCAGAAAAGCACTTTACATAAACTCAAAAACATATCTTGTTGCCATCTCAGATGGAACACTAAAAATCAGTGTCTCTGAATCCAGGATAAGCTGTCTTAGCAGTAGAGTGAACTGCTGCTCTGATGCTGGGGATGCAGGCAGGGTACTCCCTACTGAAAACACCTCTTCTCAGGGCCAGGCCCTTTCCTCTCCTCTCAGGCAATTTTCTCACATTAATATGGTTAATTCCAGTAAAGTAGATCCTAGTCACACCCATATCTTGCATCCTGGTATTTGGAATGGTAGCCAACCCAGGCCCTGAACATCTCTGCATGTTCTTGCTGGATAATGCCAAGAATACCTGGCCCTGCCCACTCTACCCAGGCCATCTCTCAGCGAGTAACCTGGAGGGGTAAGGTAGTGTGTTCCTCAATGACAAAGATCAGATTTGCTGCTTGCTATAATATAGAAGGTTCTCCATCTGTAAGGGGCCCTTGGCATCACTCTCACGGGACTTGAGGGGCAGAGAGGGCGAATGCAAACTTGTTAATGACCATATTGTCTGCTGTGATGTAGCAAAGAACTTTGTTTTTGAAGGAAGAACCTTGTTTTGTCTACCATCATCCATGAAATCCTAAGAGGCTAGCGTGTTAGCTTGTAAGTAGGGTAAAGTCAAATCCTATTCCTAACAGCTGGGAATCTTCAGACTTTCAAATAATATTACATCATATATATTTCAGTACAAAACAGATACAAAACTAAGAATAATAATAGCTTCTTAGATACAAAAGATCTATGTGGTAGTTAGGGTGAAGGGTCAACTTGACTGGCTTTGGTGTGGGGGATTAGTGGGGCACACTTCTGGGCACGTCTAGGTGAGCCATGGAGGTGTGACATGGGGTCTATGTCTGGTCCATTGCCTCTTCCTCTTTCATACTGTACCCCTGCTCTGCTTCTCGGCTGCCATGAACTAAGCAGCTTTGCTCCACCATGCCCACCATGTTTCTGCCTTGGAGCTGGCTGATCATGGACTGAATCTACTCAAAACATGAGCCAAAGTAAACCTGTTCTCCTTTAAATTGTGGGGTGAGGGTATGTGTCCCAGCAATCAGAAACTTTACTAATAGAGCCCACTCCTTAATCAACTCCCTATTTCAGTGCAAGTCTAAGACTAATTCTTGCTACTTGTCATTGAATGTTGCTAAAATATGGCAAATTGTAAAAGATGCTAGAATAGCTTACTGAATGATTCTCAATTATTTGTATAATATATTTCAAAATATAATAGCCACCAAATTGCCCTTTGATGCCTTTTTTTCCTTCTTAATAAGCATCTTGAAAATTCTACTGGATTTCTTTTGTTATTTGTTTCCATGGTGTAGGCTAAATAGAAGCAATGCTACAGGAAACCTGGGCCTAAGAGTAGTTGAATAAATGAAGATTTTTGAGGACCCTGAAAATACTATGAACTCTTCACAAACTTTTTTCAAACTCACAGACAAAGGGATCTGGTTCAAAGAATTTCAAAGGCTCATCATTTGTCACACATAATTCTTAGTATCCCTAAAATACTTCTCCAAAACTCCAGCCTCCCCAAGTGTTGCAGAGCTAGTTCAATGGAAGAAGGTACTCTCCACTGGCCAAAGAAGAGTTAAGGAGGGAAGAACCAAGGCTGGTCTCCTCCACTCCTGTGATACCTGCTGAGAGCCACAGGCCTTGGTTTATAGCCAGGCGGGGGGAGTCACTTATGGGCAATTCTATGTAGATCTCCATCCTTCCTGTGTCCACATGGAGGCCATCAGTAAGTGAGAACTGAAAGTCATCCACTGCCATGCCAGAATCCCCAGGCATGTATCCAACCAGCCCAGCCAGGACATCCTGGTAGGTGAAGGAGGAGTCCTGGTCTAAAACTGTCCCATTCTCCAGAGGATCTGAAGCAGTAAGTCTCCTGAGAAGATAACCTGAGGGAGAAAGTAAAGAAAAACAAAGAAACAATGGTAGTCTGTATATGGCACCAAAACATTGGTTTTCCAAGTAGTCTAAGTCTGGGTACAATGTGAAGCATCTCAGAGGCGCTTGATGTGCACAACTTACTATTTTATAAGTACAGGTGCTGGCCTGTGGTCTCATCTATAAATAAGACAAAGTCCTATTTTCCTGTTTAAACATCTCTTAAGGAGACACAGATGGATCTAGCAATACAGCAGCTTCCCAATCACCATCTCCCTCCATGAAGTGAAACTCATTTCATTATCCAAACCTTATTTTTTCCTTCTGCACTTTGGCAAAGTACAAATAGCACACTTCACTCACTGCCTTTCTTTTATGGCATGTGGAGTAGGAGATGGGAAAATGTTTTAAATTTCTTTGAAATTCAGAAAGACACTAAGCATCTTTATATTGAAGGCTATTGTTCTGTTTTCAAGGGTTATGTACCTCAATAGGACAGTTAAAGTGCTTCATTAAAGAAAGTGAAAGCGAAGGAAGACAAGTTAAAAATGTAATGGCCAACAGCCTCTCCTGTTAACCCTCCATCAACAGCAGCATTTTCATCTTGGAAAGCTCAGTATGCATTACAGTGGACTGAGAGACACCACTCAGGCTCCTGCACTCTAATGGATGCTTGGGGTGGCACTTAGAAAGAACTGGGTGGAAGATCCTGACAGCAGTTTCTGCTTCTGATGTAAAGCAGGAAAAATGCTCTCTTTGTGAAAGGAACAAGCTCCTGGAAACATCTCACATGCTATCACACTTGAGATGGCCTGGGACTGTCAATTAGGATGTCTACTCTGAGAAGAAGAGATGCAAATGCTAAAGCCCATTTCACTTGAGGTTACAAAGGAAAGCAAGAAAACAGCTAAAATTAAATTTCAGAGATACCAATTACCTACAATTCAGGCTTTTTAAACAACTAGTGTCTACTGTGGCCCCAAACAATATTAGCTAGCTGTGAATTTGATTATACTTTGATGCAAAGAATGGACTAGATATGGGAAAGGCAAAGGAATAACCGACTGAAATCTATGTGCTCATTCTAATAACCCACCAGGCACCCCCAATTAAGAAGCTCTGCACAGCAGTTTGTGTCCTACCGTGGTCAGGCTTTTTTGTCAATACAAAAACCAGCTCATTATCTGGGGTGTCCAGGTCTCGCAGGCGCAGAGAAGAACTGCTTATTGCCACAGCTGAGCTCAGCTTCACTCCGAGGGGCCGCAAGGTCATCCTGGGAGGCTCATCGTTCTTCCTCTGAGTAAAACATAAAACATTCGGTGTCATGCAAACAGTGGTTAAGAAGAAAGAACAGGCACATTATTCAGAGAAGGTATTATTCTTTTTTTTTTTTTGGTGGTACTGGGGATTGAACTCAGGAAGGTATTATTCTTTTTTTTTTTCTGGTGGTACTGGGGATTGAACTCAGGACCTTGCACTTTCAAGGCAGGTAGCGGTGCCACTGAGCTGAATCCCGGGCCCAGAGAAGGTATTTTTCTTGCAGGAACTTTCACTATCAAGATAGCATTGAGTGTGTCACAATTTTCCTAATGAAAATAATTAGCTTGCAAAGAGAAACAAAAGAAAAAGTCCCACAAACAAAATGTCCCATTGAAAAGAAGCAAATGGGCATTCTACAAAAATCTTCTAAGATATCTTCCATAAGTACAATGAGCACCTTTTCTAGACCAAAACATATGGGCATATGATTTGATAAAATACAAGTGTATTGGGGGGATTAAAGGACACATTATTTGATCTCAGAACTGTGCCAGAAAATCCTAAACATATCCCAGTACCAGTAGAAGGACACCATATTGGAAAGTTTCTAAAGCTGTCTCCTAGAGACAGCTTAATCTCCTTAAGATTGCTAGAGATTCCATATATTTTGTTTTCCCAAGGCAGAGAATACTCCATTCTGAGATTTATCTTTTATCTCTCTTATTCCCTGTAGTAGGAGAGCAATACTGTGTCATTGCTCAAATGAAAACAGGATCAAACATCAGTTTCTTTGATGTTATAATTAAATGAATGAATGGATTAAAATATAAGAAAAGGCAAGTATGCATGTAGATCCACACACAATAATTTTAGAGAAAATACAGGCATATGTTAGTTTTCATCTAAATGTGGGAATGACAAGGCTTCTCTGACTCTCACAAACTGTTTTTACACAGAACGAATAAATTTTACTCTGAAGTGAAAATTCAGATTTCCAACTCAGACCTTCCCCAAATGCCAACCTTAATTCCACAAGTTTTCTGAAGGTCAGGGTTATATTTTAAGGGTGATCTTTAAAATTGAAGGTCAGATCCAATCTTCTTTGCTTTTGAGTCCATGGAAAGAAAGCTATCTAATGGTGAGATATTGAATAGTCAAAGCTTCAACGTTTCCAACTTCCAGTCTTTACCTCAATAGTGATATTGATGCTGTGAATTTCCGAACGACTGGTTCCATCACTCACATAGAAACTAAAAATATCGTGGGTTGGCTCGATGCTTTCATGAACACTCTGAAAGTAGTAAATGTAGTTTTCTAGGACATCCTGAATAGGGAATGATGCCTCTGGGTTGCTCGTAGTTCCAGGGCCAAAACGATCACCTGCATGAGCATTGAGACAGGACTTGTACTTGGACACATCAATTTCAGACTATTAGGCTGAACTAGAAAATAAGGCATTATTGTTAACATGAGATAAAAATATAATTAAAGTCAAAGCTAGGAGAAAGCAGAGGATCAGGAACTGGAAGACTTGGAGTGAGATGCAGTTTCCCCAGGACTCATCTACAAGAGAATCTGCCTGTCTTGTGTCTCCACAGGTGATCAAGTGAGATAACACACACGAAAGCACCCAGTGTTTTATTATCCCACAAAGCACAGAATCAGTGGTTGTTTTGTTAGTAATCTTTTATAGCACACATCTCAGAGTAAGTCACAATGCAATAGTCAAAATTCTACCTCAAACTCTAGCCAGTTTCAAAGTCATTGTATCCAGAAAAACCACAAGAGGAGCTCTCTTTCTCTCTGTATCCTTTTATCTAAGATACGTCTCCTCCAGTGTGTTTGCATCTCACCTCCCAGCTGGAGCCTGGCCCCCAGGTAGAGAACCATGGCTCAGGATTACTCAGGGAACATGACACTCAGGTACAGCTGAAGCACCAAGATGCTCAGGTCCCACTCAGAGCTCAGGTGCTGCCATGATTTGCACAAGTGTTCCCCACAGGCCCATGTGGTTAAAGGCTGGTCCCTAGCTTGCACCACTTCTGGGTGGTAGTGAAACTTGTAAGACATGGAGCCTGACAGAAGGTTTCCAGTCACTAAGGATGTTCTCTTGAAGAGGATAATGGGACCGCAGGCTTTTCCTTTCTCTCTTTTGCATGCTGACTATAAGGTGGGCAGCTCTGCTTCACCACCCATTCCCTAATGTGCTGTCTCACCCACATCCAAAAGCAATTGACCAGGATGGGGACCTTCAAAACCATGAGACAAAATAAATTCATTTTCTCTCTGTGTGCGTGTGTGTGTGTGTGTGTGTGTGTGTGTGTGTGTGTATGCCTCTATCTATCTATCTATCTATCTATCTATCTATCTATCTATCTATCTATCTCAGGTATGTGCTACAGTAACAAAGCTGACTGCTGCAGGTGCCCTGCAGGTGCCATTCAGGTACTAAGGTGCCTGGCAACCATTCAGAGCTCCATGGAAAGCACAGGTTCCACTTTGCTCTGCTCATCCCACCCCAGATACTGTAAAAGGCCAAGGGAAAGGGTAAATGATGTCTAAATGATGGATGTTTTGTCTTTTATTTGATTCTAACCTAAGTCCTTCTAAATGATTGGTTTTAAATTGTTAACAAAATTTTCTTCTTGAGAGGGGAGGAAAAGAAACCCTTGTGTTTTCAAACATTTCCTGGATATATATCAAGAAAGAAAAGTATAGCTGTCAGATGTGAAAGCAACAAAGCTTTTCCTCCCTTCTCCATGATCCTTTGTAAATATCAGATCATAAATAAGAAGGCCGTTAACTTTCTGAATTATGGACAGTGCCATAGTTGGTGGCATCCAAACAGAAAGACAATGAATGAAAAGTTGTTTTGTTTTTAACAATTCATTCAAAAGAAGGTCAAGACAATTTTTTTCCTTTGATAACATGATTTTTTCTTTACTGCTCATATTGATTCCTCAGAAGTGGAGAAAGGTCTAAGTGGCCAGTGACCCAATAACCCAAAGACATACAATTAGTTCAGTGTTTTCAGAAAGAATTGTTAAAATACTTCCAGTTTTTACTTTCTCCTTCCATTGTTTCACTGTAAATAGAGAAAAATAGCCTAACCAAAGTAAATGGTATACACAGGTATAATAATACCTTTTTAAAACATCACTGGAGAACTAGCTATTCAACATGTACATCTGTCACCAAACTTTTCAGCACCAATGTTCCCAAGTTGTAAAACTGTTCTTTCCGCTTCTTGAGGTAAATCTTATTAATGTGCTTCTCTGCCTTAAGCAGAATCTACTATGACAAATTGAGTAGTTCTTGATGCATGCTGAGTGTTGTCAGGACACCTACCCCCACCCCGCCCCGGAGCCTGGGGATACCCTTGGAGGTAGTCGAGGCAGGGCATGGCCTGGTTGTGGTATTTCTAAATGAATTCAGATCCATAGCATTCACAGTAGTCACTCTTGTTCATCTATATTTGTTGGTAAAAAGTAAAAGCTGCTTATTCTAACAGTTTTTAAGATACTTTTCCCATCAGGTAGCTGGTTCTGAAACTAGGTGACTGGTTTCAGACACATGCAAGCGGCTCAGTTCCAAGCAAAGAGAAAAGGGCCTCTCTCATGGACCAAGGGCGGCAGGGTCTTTAGCTGAAGGAGCCTGGGACAATTCTTTGGCTTTCCTGTACGCCTTTTCTCATTTACAGGTTCATGCCCATGCTACTGCAGAGCAGCCATTCTAAGTGGGCTTCCTCGATTGCTGTCCAGGATATTAACTTCACAAGCCTCGAAGGGGATTTTTATGCACACTAATATCTGAGAACCACTTTTTGGAGCAGCTGAGGCTTGCCAGAATTTTGACTTGTGGACCAGTGAGCTCCTCCCTTCCCTGGTGGATCCATGCTCTTTCGAGTGTTCCAGGTACTTGGAAACCTGTGTTACAAAGACTTGATAAGAATGAAACCACCCGAGAGAAGAGGAGGCTGTGGGACCAACATCCTTTCATAATTTCCCACCTTCCTCTCAACTCTGCAAAATACAAAATGTCACTTTCCCTCTCCCCAAGGTGACTCCCACTAACTTCAGGGTCCAGCACAAATGTTACATCCTCAGACTCTGCTGCCCTCCCAGGCAAAAGCAACTGCTGAATTCTATGTACAGTCTCAGCGCTTTGCTTCTTTACCTTCCTGGTATTTGTCATTTATTGTAATTTATCAATCTTCCTATCTGTCTCTTACTCAAGACAAGGTCTGTATTCTTCATCTTTACATCTATCATATTTAGCACAGACAATTGTTGAAACAAACCTAATTCAGTCATAAGCAAATCGGAGCACACACATTGAAAGGCAAATAGGGAAAAGACTCAAAACTTGACCGGAAAACATGACCATGCTGGATGAGTTTCTGGTCAACAGGCTCAAAGGCCGGGCACCATGCTGGCCTCTGACATGGGTAGTCAATGGCCTGTCTCTGGGAACTGCTAGCTGCACACCAATCAGAGCCAAGTGCTGGCTCTCAGGAATCTCACTGTCCAGAGATGTCTAAGTTGCCACTCTTGGCAGTCTCAGGGGGCCAGTAGTCAGTTCATGCCTTCTCACCTCTCCTCTGTGATGAGGAGGATGGGTCCAGGGCAGAAGGCAGAGAGGAGGGATGCTAGAGAGGGTGTCAGAGAGAGACAGCAAGCATTTCAATTCCTATCAGATCCATAAAGGCGCTGATGCATATGCTAGGGTTCAGCAAAACCACAGCTGGCTCACAACAAAAGGACAGAAATTTTAACTTCCTCAACCCTCTGAATGCAATCCGTAAGTCCTACTACCCCTTTTCAAGCACATCAAATCCCGTTCCCTTGTTCTATTTCTTCTATAACATTTATTCACTGCCTAATGTTTTACCTAGTTGTCTTGTTTTTCAGGTCTTTTGCTTGCTTTCTTCCACTGTAATCTGAAGCACTATGAAGACAGGGGATCTTGTCTGTTTTGTTTATGGTTGTACCCCTGGTGCTTAAAAAGTGCATGGTCCATAGAAAATGCTTAGTATACATTAGTTCAGTGAACAAAGCCTTCCTTTCTGTCATTTCATTGAGACAGTTTGATTTTTCTTTAATTCTGCATCTCTAGGTTTAACTGGAATACAAGACCTCCCTCGCACTTTCTTTTCTTTCCAGATCCTGAACCATTCTGCAGCAAAGCTACCACTGTTACCTGTTCCTGTGTTCTCAATGCAGCCATATTTGGGCAGAGCACTTAGTTTAATGATGGCATCTTCCTGGAGGTTGTCATAATCATCAGTAGCAAAGAAATGGTGAAATGAAAGTGGAGCTCTCCCTCCCTCATCAACCTAAGGAAGAAGAGAAAGTACAGTCCTTGGGTGGTTGCACATAACTGTAATAAAAAGAAGTGAATTGTGAAGCACTGCCTGGATGACCTTCCAGAACCAGTCCTGTGTCTTGGAGAAGGCAGATGGTCTGCAGACAAGATGAGGGCTGTACATGCTACCCATGCCACGCAGTCTTCTAGCGCCTCTCGGAGACATGCTCAGATGTGATGACTCCCATACCGCCGTGTCATTCCATGATGGATCTGGTTATAAAGCAGCTATGGCCCATTCCAATCACCCACCTGGGTGCAGCTGCATGAAGGATGCTGCCTTCCCGCAGCATCCACATTCAGAAGTCCACTGCTACAGAATGATGGGTCCAGTCCTCCCTCAGCCCCAGTGAAGGTGACTTACACACATTCACATCCAGCATAAAAGTCCCATTTATTCCCTTATATTGTATATTTATGTGTGTGTGGGAGGAAAGGACTCACCAGATCTGAAAGTGAATGCTTATCTTAATGTCAAGGAAGAAAATAAATCAGTGTAAGTAAAAGCAGTTACTCAAACTAACTTTTTTTCTTTAGGCCCTGTTTTATATGCTAACTCTGCAACCTGAGCCTGGAGTTTTTTGCTGACCTGTTGGAAATGGTCAAGTCATTTCACTCTGAACAACTCTTGGCTAACTGTAGGAAGACCTATAAATTACAAAGCAGGACTCTGGGAGTAGGGATGGTCCAACTGATTTCTCCAAGGTGTGGAAATGGAAACATAGGGGGAACATGAGAACTTTTAGAAACAATTCAGTTATATGAATTTTCAGTTGCTTGACCTAACCAGAAAACCTTTTCAGGCTCAGCATTAAGATATGTACAAAAAGTGGAAAGAGGAAAATGAATTAAGGTTTATAGGATCCTTACCAGGTACCATGTTCTGTGACAGGATGCATCAGAGAAATCCTTATTGGTCATCAGAGAAATCATTTATATAGCAGGAGCAGAAATATTTTAGAGATGAGGAAACTGAGGCTAAGTAAGATTAAGTTCTTGGTCCAAGGTCACTCAGGCAGTAAGAGAACTGGTGCTTGAACTCATGTTTGGGTAATTTCAGTGATGAAAACACATTATATTGCCACTTCTCCCAAGGATCTATTAATATTGTTTACAATGATAAACAACAGCTTGACTCGGGACTACTGTCCATGTTTTAATTGCTGTCAGCATTAGATAGTGAATTCCTCAAAGATATAGTCTACTTCTATTTTTACTCCCAATACTAATAATATCCAGCATAGTATCTAGCACATGTTTGTAGACTAACTAATGTGGATATCATGATATGACCTCTTGCATAAAATTATTTTCATCTTTTTGGAAGCCTCACAATAAAAAAATCCATGCATAGCTTGACACTATCACCTAGATATTTTGGGAGGAAGAGTTTTGGCTGTCAATTTAGACAATAATTCATTTTTTTATATCACTAAAGACTCTACCTCTCTATAGTTCACTGTTTATTGATCCAAGAGCTGTTTACCGTGATAAGGTCAGCAAAAGCAATGACTGGAGGTGGATTCTCAACCGGAGTGATGGTGATGGTAAATATCTGATTTTCCAGATGGTTGTGGTCCATGTCAGAGACAGAGAAACGGAAGCTGTCAGTAACCAGATGACCGTCTGTCTCAAACCCAGCTGAATATCTACAAAGGCCAAAAGAATGAGCCACACAGACAAGCCAGGTAAGATGATTTTTGTATAAACATCAAGCTGTGAGCAATATATTCTTTGAAGGAGTTACAACCAGTTGCTTAAATATTTTAATACAGTTTTGAAAATTCTGGCAAATAAGACAAAGTAGTTATGTACCTAATGTTCTTGTTGTTGATGTCCTCCATTGTGAAATTGGCCACCTCAGAAATCTCTTCCACCTCAGATCCTGACGCTCTTAAGAGAGCACCATACATGGGCAGAGAACTTAACTGAATCCAGATCTCTGGGTCGGGGGAAGAATCATCCTAATCAGGCAAATATGAGTCAGACATGAATGCACATTTGCAGGGATAAATACATCCAGTAGTTAAAGATCTATAAGCACCTCCTTCTCTGCTAATGGCAGAAGTCTCTTTCCCCTTGTCATAGAGCAATAGCATTTCCAAGTCCATGAAAACCCCAGAATTTATTCCTCCCCAAATGCCTCTTTGATAATGTCTTCTTCCAAGAGCAGCTCAAAGAAACAGTGGAGAAACACACATTAGGTATGCAGCATTAAACCAAGAGAGGCCCTATGGATATCAGAGGAGCCATACAAAGTTTTGTTTTTATTGCAGCATTTAATGAAGAATAAAAACATGGTGAGCTACAAGTCATCTATCTACAAATACAAATGCAGGTTTCCTCTGAAGTTTCTAAGGATGGTCTATTTTTAGAAACAGGTAAAATTCCTATAACATATAATACATTATACAACAATAAAATTCTGTGATACAGAAAGAATAAAAGTTCTTTAGCTTAGCCCATGACTCACTTTAAGTAATGTTCAACATGATAAAATTTTGGATTAGCTCAGGAGGACATCTTACAGATTTCATTCGTTCAGGACTGGATCTATGAATGCTCACTCTCCAAGATTCATAATCTTAACAAAGGCCATTTTTCTCTCTGTCTGCATTGCTTATTGAGAAATAAAATTGACTTTTTAAATTTCTATATGGAAAATAACTGAATATCTTAATGAACAACTTCCTCTTTCTTCAAGGATATTTTTGGAAATATCTAGGAGGCAGGCAACATCTTGGAAAGTTTCCTTGGGTCATTCACCTTTTAGAGCAAGCTGACTGTGAAAATGGGGCAACTCTATACTTTATCACAGCAACAAGAAAAATAAATGTAGCACAGTCAGTTTTATTTTCAAATGCAAATTTCCATATCTATGCTGTACTTTTAGGTGAGGGATGAGATCAGGAATGTGAGCACAGAACCCTGGTGGGGCAGGGACAGCAGGTTTCAGCCCATTGTCATTTCTATCCCCAGGGGGACTTTTTCAGTTAGCAGTTCAGAGTCTCAATGCAAGATCATAGCATTTTCTCATATCCCTTGACACTAGCAAGAAAGGAAACTAAAATTTATCAAAGCTGCAAAACTTCAGAATATTCTCCCTAAATTTATACTCTTTTAAAGTTCCTTTATTTCTCCACATGGGTTATCAAAAGCAATATGTATGCTTTGAAAAGATGACTTCCTAATATTACTGTGAGTTCCCCTGATTGAGAGTTTTTAAATCCAGCTGAGGACTTTAGGGTATTGACTTTTGAGATGATGATAAACTACTAGGACTGAGCTCCTGGCTCTTGATTAGAATGAATAGCTTCTAAATTCCACACTGGCAAATTTGGCAAAGAAATGTTTATTTCATGTCAGGCATATCTTATTATATTTCAATTCTCAAATGACTGCTGGGTTTGAAAAAGTGGAAGATCAGCTAGATTTTTTTCCCCTGAAAATAGCTTGTTATAAATTAAAGAAAACTGCTATTTTAGAATATCCAAGATATACTGCAGTACACCAAAATGAATAGGAATGCCGACCTTGTTCTTAGTAACTTCCCTGATCAAAGACCTTTGAATCCCATTTTGGATTAACTCCTGTTTTCATTTTCTTTTTTTACTATTTAAACATCCATAAAACATCATTCGACAGGAGGAATAGAACTCCATAACAACTTGTATTTACTTATGTGCGTCTCCTTCATCTCATCCTTAGGCGTTTCATCACCCTGAAACTTGTTTCACATTCCGGTGAACTTCTTCATATCATCTGATACATTACTACAAAGTGTACTTTCAGAGTTTGACTCAACTCTTGTAAGATTTTTCTTTTTGCTCAGTGCTAGACTGCTAAGATCCATCCATGCTGCTGTGTGTAACAGCTAAGCTAATCCATCTGTCGTGAAGCTAATACTCTATTGAGTAAGTGCACCTTGTCATCCATTATCCTGCTGCTGAGCATTTAGGTTGTGTAAGTATTTTTGCTACTGCAAATGGTACCATGGTGATAATTCTTGCACGTATCCACTGGTGTCTATGTGAATGTTTCTCTGGGATAGAAATTTAGGAGTGGGCGGGAAGGTAAATGACTGTTCATCCTCACAAAGTAATGTTAGATTCCCTTTTTTTTTTTTTTTTTTTGGTACCGGGGATCGAACTTGGGACCTTTTGCTTTTGAGGCAGGCGCCAGAACCACTGAGCTAAATCCCTGGCCCTAGATTCCTTCTTATCGTGGCTGTTCCAATTTATACTCCAACTAACAAGGAACTTCCTATAGATCTATTTCCTTTCTAATACTTGGTATAAAATGTTTTACTGTTTTAATATGCTTTTTCTGGTCATTGATAAAGGTGAATATCCTTCAGATGTTTACTGATGCTATAGGTTCCTTGTCTTTGAAATTCCTATGTAGATCTCTTGGTTGTGTTTCTATTGGATGATCTATTTCTTCTTCTTCTTTTTTTTTTTGGTACCAGAGATCGAACTTGGATTCTTGTGCTTGCACAGCAGGCGGCTAAACCACTGAGCTAAATCCCTGGCCCTATTTTTTCTTAATGTACACAAGTTCTTTATATTTTCTTTGTTATTCTTGATTAAATATCTTGCAAATATGATGTATCAATTTTTAATTTAATATCACAAAACAATTACTTATATCCTGTAAAGAACTGTAAAAGATTATTTATGACATTTGCTTAAATTTTATCTATCTGGAATTAATGTATCGTAGGTGTGAGATGTGCTCAAATTCCATTTTTTTTTTGCTGTATAAATAATCATTTTGTGCAGCTCCATGTTATAAGTAGTTTTTGCTTCCAGTGATCTTGCTTATTTCTGTTTTATAGGAATCTATGCTGTCTGTTTCTTGACTTTCTAATATATTTCTGTACCACACTATTTTAAATACTGTAGGTTTATAATAAATCTTGACATATGATAGAGCAAGTCTCCTGGGCCTCCTACCATTCTTTTTCAGAATTTTGGACCTTTGTTCTTCCTCTTATGCTTCAGAATCAGCTTATCCATAGAGTTTTTGATTGAAATTGAATTGAATTGAAAGAATCACTTTGTGGGAATTTAAAAAATATTTAATGTTCCTCTTCACAAATATGGCATATCTCTTCATTTATTAAGTGCTTTTGAAATATCTGTCAATTAAGTGTTATAATTTTCTCTGTGGAAGCATTGCCTGGTTTTTTAAAGGTTTAACCCAAAGAACATGATGTTACTTTAACATTATTTTAAATGGTCTCATCTTTTTCTTACATTTTACTGGTAATTTTTTTCTTAAGTATAGCAATGTTATTGCTGTTTGTTGACCTCATATCTGTCCTCTTTCTAAATTCTCCTTTTATTTCTAATGCTTGTCAAGACTTTTTTTTATTTTTCATGTAGTCATAGCATCAATCTTCTCTAGAAGTTACAATGTTTTGTTAATATTTATTCCTAAATATGTGATATGTAAATTATTATAAATGTTATAATACTTTGAATTATTTTATTTTTGGGAGGGGCACAGAAAAGCTATTAGCTTTTTGAGATTAATCTTATACTTCTCATATTACAGATGAGAAAGCTGAGGTCTAGAGTATTTAAGCAACTTGCCAAGGGTCACTATCCTAGTAAGGAGTGAGCTTGAATCAACATGTCAGTTCAAACCCCGGAACCCATGCTACCCCTCCCCTACTTGTTTATTTGGAGTACACAGCAAAGCACATCTATTAAACAAGTGCTAAGAGGCAAATCACTCCAAGACCCACTTCAGCCTTTTGTCCCTTCCAACATTATAGCATTCTCTTTTGATTATCAATACTCTAAGAATGGACTCACCTACTCATATTTCCTTTTAGTCTACCCATTTATGGCTAGCATTTCAGATGACTTTCCTAAGCACTTTGGTTTTCATTGAAAACATACCAGCATTTTTGAAAAAATTTTCATGGCAGATACTTAAGTACAAAATTCTTCTACAACCCTCAGAGAAAATTCTTATATAATCTAGCTAGGTCTTTAAAGATGTATGCTATGCTTTTGGCAGGCTAGAATAGCTTTTTTGGAGTCTTTCTGCTCTGATGGGTAAATTCACATTCAATCATTTTTTGAAGATACATGTTCAGTTGCCAATGGGCTTATGTTTTGATGCGCAGCTTCTAATATACAGCTAATGGACAGGAGCTGCTCCTCAAGGGATATTTGGGTTTGTCAAACATTTTTCAAGCCTCGGTGATCTATTAATCAAATCTGAATTCACACATTTTTATGAACTCATGGATTTCACAGGATTCAAAATACCATAACATGGTAAAAATTCCCAATTGAAAAAAAAACAAAGCTATTTTGAAATTATAGTAAATCTACAAAAAGAATGAAGTTGAGTGCAATGTCCTATCATGTATGAAAAGACAATTTAAGGGGAAGATCTGTGGAAAAGCAATGTTTTGTCACGCTACTATTCAGGACTAGATTTTAGAGCAAGATTCCTCAGCCCAGAAAAGGGTTGCTTAAAACTATATAACGTTAAGATGGAAAGAAAGAAAGAAAGCCAGCCAGATCATTCATTGAAATTTTAAGACTAGTAAAGAAAAAATTCAATACTCAGAATGCTTGTCATTCAGGTAATTATTTTTCCTTTCATAGGACTATAAAAAGTATTAATTATCATGTTTACATAGAGTATATATCTATTTATAATATACATAAATGCAATAAATTAATTATTCTCATTATTCTTAGCTCCAGAGGCAGAATCAAAGAAAGAAGGTAAGTTTAAGTACCAGAATCACTTATCAAGTTAGGACTAGATTGGGGGAAACCCCCCAGGGCCCTTGATTTTTCCCCTTGATCCTCTAACTATGCTGCTTCTCTTGGGACAGGAAATGGAGGCTGGAGCAGTGATATCACCTATGGATTTCTCCAGAGAGGCACTGTCTAGAATGGACTTTAGTGAAAAGCAGGCTTCCCCTGAGGGAGCCAGGAAATATTACTTATTAGTCCTTGGCAAGGTAAATTCTTCTAAAATGCTCTTTTCCTAAAATCTTCATTATAAATATAATAGGTGGCACCTAGACTATACAATGGAACTTGGATTTTTCTAAAATTGGTACTGTTTCCTGTTGCTGATCTATATCTATATCTATATCTTTATCTATATATATTGCTTTCATCAAAGTTTTACACATTTATTCACCTACTCCTGAGACATTAGCAGAAGCCAGGATACACAGTATGAAGTCCCCTAAGAATTATAGGAAAGTTGAGAAAAGGTTCTTTTTATGGCCCATATACCTGTTGACTTAAATATTCAATCTTAGCATAGTTTCTTAGTCAGCTGGATCAGAAGGTGCAGTGTGAAACAAGAGGAGCAAATGCAATACTTACCATGTAAGCAAGGTGTGACCTGGTGATTGTGGCTGTGCTGTGACTCTCAACAGTCATGCTCAGAGAGGAACCAGCAACCAGCCGAGGCCCTGGGTCCTCTGATAGGGTCACTTCTACTCTTACTTGGGACGTTGTCACTGTCAGGCCATCTGTGACTGAGATCTCCAGGCTGTCTTCCCAGGCAGAGGAACCATCGTGTACATACTGCAAAGCATTTTTCTCAACATCATCATATGTGAAAGTGTCACCTTCCAATAAAACAAATCATAAAACCAATGACTTCTGGAAATAGTGGTCTTCATTTACATAGAACCTTTGTTCCCAGAATTTCCAAGTACAAATAGAATCATAAACTTTGGGAGTCATAAGTTAATTAGTCCAACCACCACCCACTATAAGATTCCCTTTGCGCCCCTTGACAAAGGGTGGACTAGCCTGTCCTTCAGCACTTTCCAATGTGAGAGGTGCTTTAACAAGGTAGCTAGTTGCTCTGCAGACAGCTCTAAGTTTTCTTTTTAAAGGTTCTTAATCATATTGAGCTAAAATCTGCCTCTACAAGATCCATTCATCATTCCTACTTCTAGAAAAACAAAGAACAAGCCTCTGTTCTTTATGACAGCCCTCTTTATAACAGCCCTTCTAGAATCTAATCTTGGTACTGAAAAGCTTTTGAAAAACTTAAGAAAATAGATTATGCTCAATGAACCTATAAACATCTTTATTTTAATTGGTAGTATACAGGTTTTGTAATTAAAACTGAAAGACACACTTGAACTTAGAAACTCAAACTATATAGTCTAAGTTCCTAATTCATAATTGATTAGATAGATGTATGAAAAAAGTTTCAAGTTCCATAAGTTTGGGGAGAATGGGATTAAATACAACTTAAAAAGTAAGTGTGTGTGCATGTGTGTATATATATATATATATATATA